CGGTAACTTGCTTCGGGTTCGTAACAAACGGAAGCATGAAATTTATTTTCTACTTTTAAAGCCGCTCAGTTAGTAGCAACGTAGAACTTCGTGCGTATGTAGATCAGTTTGGGTTGCCATACCACATTAGCACAAAGATGCAATTGTCGATAGAGGTAGTAAAAGTTTAAGCAGTAATCGGTGACATTAGGGTTTGAAGATGTTATTCAAGGAGTATAATCCAGTGAAAGCCTAATTAATATGATTCATGATTTATGACGTTTCGTTTGATTAATAAGCATAAATTTATCACTGATTTATAATCTTGAACTAAATTGTTTCCTACACAGAACTACAAGTTTCTTGATTTAAGCTTTAACTTTCAGTGATTGAGTTCAATATATATATCACATATTTCTATTTCAGACTACTATTCAATTGCAATTTTATGATATGTGTTATAACTTGTGGCCTGAGTGCCTTGATAAGGTATAACGTAATGATACCGCCAATTAGAGAGCAGTGAATTATCGATCGGACCGATGACGCGTAAGACCCGTGCGACCAGTCCTTATTGGTCCTGCTTTCCGCCTAGCCCAGCCAGTTAAGTCTAGAATAGCAATCTCATCCTCTGCAATATGAATCATTTATTTCAAACATACTGGGTTTATATACCAATCAGACAGACCACATCGTACCATAAAATGAAAAATAACATTTGTACAATATTTTGCGAAATGTGGCTGTGAAGGTGAAAGGCAGTGACTAATAGACAGGGTATAATTCAAGAATGGTAATTCGTGTACTAACAGTTTATAGGTCAAAATGAAGCTCATAATAATAGAGACATGAATATGAATAGTTTAGTTATTCAACAAGTATACGATAAAGATATACGTTTTGTATTGGTCCATCAAATAGATTCCAAAGTTACCATTCATTATGCTTATCAGGGCATAACAACATGTAATTTCAATTTTCGTTATTTCATTTTATTTCTTAATTTTAGCATTTACATTGTACAGATCATCAGCAATTTGCTAACAATTCTGAAAATTATCGACTTCTTGATGATGTTTTAAATAAGCTGCCTACATTTAAAGAGTTTCTAACAAAAACTGCATCGACTACTTCGCAACTACCATCTTATTTAAATCCTATTGCAATAAGTCCTTGCGCTTCTCAGCATGAAAAAGATTATCTCTTAAATAATTCCAAATGCGAAACGTTAGAAAAAGAAAATATACCACCCATTCAAACAAAAATTAATGGAAATATTCAGTAAGTTTATTAGTTCACTAATTTTACTCATCTTTAAAACAAACCATACTTTAGTATAGAAACCAGAATAATCAAACAAATAATCATAAACACAATAGAATCCAATGTGGATGTTTATGTTTTACTTCAAATTGTTCGATCGAATCGCACTAACCACGTTGATGTGGAATGTCAGTTACTCCATAAATTAACATCTTATGGTTGGGTACAAATCAGTAATTAGTCATACGTAAGCACTCAGACAAGCTTTATTTGATAGAGGCATTATCTTTTAGATTATGACTTATTTAAGCACATAAACATTGGTACAAGGAGGCATCAGACAGATATGCGCCATATAAATCATTCGATTTGTTTGAGGGCATGGGTTATTTTCCCATGCCCAAACCAAAGCAAGTGATCTTTCAAGGAGGCCACACCCGGAGCCCTTGATCTAAAGGTCTGATCAGCAAGGCAGTGGAGCAACGTGAGGAGATGCAGTCCGATAGTAGCCGGTGGCCAACAATTAGTAGATACTCCATTTTTCTAATCAGGATCTTGGAGCTCATGTGCACCATTGGTTTGGAATTAGGGTTTTCCAACTCCCCTGGGTAAATCCTCCGTATCCACCAACCCGTTTAAAGCGCCGGACATTCGCTTTTCATCCTCTTAATTTCGTAAACAACACCTTATTGCGAGAAGGTAGTGAGTGGGATTTCCCTGTCAGTGGTGGTGTGCATGTGGTCATGTAAGAGCATTTTGAGAGATAGAGAGAACTGACTCTCTCCACTCTCGCCGTACCAGGGCATTTGATACTCATGTTTTGTATTCCTATTAATACAATACATCATCATAGGTTAGATATTTAATTGTTTATCTGTCTCAGTTACTTATTTTATCATACATCTATTACATTTAAATTTAAATGTAGACAACTTAATAAACTTACAGCCGTCAGTAAAATTTTCAACATGGTAAAACCACTGAACACTTTTTATTGATGCTAATATGTATCCAATGTCTAAATCAATACATTTGAAAAGTACCTGATCAGTACACTAACTAACGGTAAATTTCCTTCCGATTTCTATTCCAGACCTATCTCTGTTTCACAGAAGGCACAATCTACATTAAATGACTATGAAAATATTTCTAAAGAAATCAATGTTCCTCCAACATTAAACTTTTCTGAACCACTTGGACCTAATCAATTTACCGATGGAAATTCAGATATATTCAATAATACTGATTTAGATGTTTGCGAAATATCAAATACCGCTGTTGTTGTAGATAATAATAATCTTGAACAAATATCTAAATTAGATCAAGAAGAGGCTGCATTTCTTTTTTTACTTTAACAAAAGAATTTAACATTGAGAAAAAATAAAAACATCCCTATTTTTCTATTAACATTTTTTCTCAATTTTTAACTATAAGTGCTTTCATTATAATGTCAAGAGAAACTTCGTAGAAATGTAATTTACCCTTACTATATATATAAATGTTCAGTTTGCAAAAGGTTTCCTAGTAAAATATTTGTACGATGATGTATATATACAACATATATGTTTAGCATTTGTATTTCAATTTGATAATTTCTAATTTCTTTTGAATGTGTCAAATAAAGTGTATGCGGTAATTCGTTGATAATTACTTTTCTTTAAAGTGTTATCACTCATTAGCTAGATACAGTTTCAGTTACTAGGCGAAATCTGGGCTACTTGTCTCTATCTACTAGATATTTCAACAAGTTATCTGTTATTGCTTGTTTTAACATATAATGATGCTTATTAATCGTACAACCCAATCACAGACATCGTGGTTGCTTGCAATATGCATCGAAAAGAATGTACATTATTCAGATGTCAATTCCTGGACTTCTAACTGGTGACCATTCAAAATTTGGAGTCAGGATCGACCAAGAAGTAAGAGACGGAAATTTGTTGAGATACTTTTGTGCTGAGACTATATTGTACTAAAAATATAATATTGAATAAAGCTAATAATAATAAATAGGTTATTGCTTTATTCGAATTATGTAAGAGTGGAAAAACTGCTATCACTTATATTTTAAGCTTTAGATGAGACGTAGATTCAATAGGAATGTACAGCTTATTAAACAAGAATGTGATAACAGTAAGTTATAATCTACGTAGAGCCTAACATAAATGTGCGTTAGCTGAAGTTGCCATTAAAAATCAGTATGAGATGAAACTAATAAAAGGAAATAATAATGGTACCAATGATAGTGATTAGAACTATAATTGAATTTGAGATAGTTGTAAAAGAATGTATGCATAAAGACGATGATGCAGACCAGTTTTCAAGCAATTGAGGAGCAGAAACATACCCCTTATATTCACCGTCCTCAGAGGAAATTCGAAGTTTCCGGTAAAGCGGGCAACATTAGCAAACACCAGTTGAATCTGACGATTCTAATGACAGGTCACTCTTCAGTTTTGACTCAACTAAATGTTTATATAAAGAGCCTTCAAAAACCACACCTATTAATGATGAAAAACACCTCAAAACTCGAACCAACGGATCGGACTGTTTCATCACTGTTAAGAAATGCAACTTCGATCGTGTATTTCCAATTATGTCTATGTTTCGTAGGTGTGGTCCAACCGACCTGCATAAGATCTAGGTAACAACATAAAACGTTTCTTTGCAAATGCCATGTATTTTTACTGCTAATTCATCCCCCGAATTGCTGCCTTATCCTCAGAAGAAAAGGGTTCAAGAAATCTGGAAAACAATTAAATCCGGTCGATTGGAAGTAACGGGCGTACGATCGTTTTTCTTATGTTCACACAATTTCGCATCATTGATTGTAATTTGTTCAAGTGTAAAGTTGGTAAATTCTAACGAACGTGCACTGAAGTATAGTAAATAGACTATCAAAACTACCTCATAAATAAGGCAACCACTATGTAACTTCCGATACATATATAATGGAATAATATCTTGATTGATTGAGATTTATTCATCTCATTTTAGTCACCTGACTTGACTCTACTCATATTACCTTATTTATTTACATAATCTCTGTGAACAAATTATTTCATTAAATATTCCCAATGATACACTGAAAAGACAAGCTGAACAAAGAAATATTTCTTTCCAACTAGCTCTTCATTAATATAAGTTTTACAAATGAGTTTAATAATCTTGTTATCTAACTTCCACTCCATTCGTTGTACTAATTACTTATCATTAATTTCACAGTGAAAAAAAACCCAGTTTCAATTCCTATTCCTACTCTTATGTAACTACTTGTAATAAACAGCTGATTATGAAAAAACACTTTAGTTTTAATTTTCTAAACGTTGTGTAGCTAATTGATTACTATATTGTTAAGTTGACTGACCACCAACTAATTGGTATTGACTTCCTACTCATTTGAGTCCTGATGAGGAACTAGTTGAAGGAAAATATTTCTTTATTGAACTTGTCCTTATTATAAATTATTTGTAACTTTCATCATTCTTGGCATAGAACAGAACATATAGATAGGCAGTTCAATATTACGGTCCGTAAACATCCTAATTCACCAATGAACAAAACGTCATGATAATAATCAAACGGCTTAATTTTCCCAAGGAAACATTTTCACCGTGACTGTGTTGACTCTAAGGCAAAGTAAATGCATTACGATCTCATATAAATAAGTAGTAATTAATTATTAGAAAGTGAGCAGATTCACCTTTCCTTTTTTAATGATAAAACCAACACAAAGTAGAAATCAGACACTAAGTCCTATGGAAAAACTTTCTATTTTAATAAAATATGAAAAATTTGTAAAAAAAAAAAGACAATAAGTGTAACTAGAAACAAAATTGAAAGTGAAGAAAAGAAAAAAAGAACTAAATTCAAACCAAACCATGATATTGATCACAGACAGCTGAAAGAGGAAATTTCATAAAAGTTCATTATCGTCAAATACATGACACTGAACACATTTAACAACAGAATTAGCAGCAAGCACTCATAGAACGAGGGTTGTTCAAAAAAATTGTTTGACATGGTTAAACCAGTACTTGCTCATGATTTGATTCGCCATTATTCATTACACTATCATTGTCTTCACTAATGTCGTCGTTTTCAGTTGTATTTTGAATGTCTTGAGGAGCAGGCGAGAATAACAATAGCGATTCAGACTTAAAATGTATGCCTGACTGGCGTCGTACAACAGACCAAACGTATGGTATGAAAAATTCATCTGGGGATTCTTCTTCTACATATTTAAATTTCAGATCTGGGAATTTCTGGGGTACAAAAAGTAGAATACAAAGAACATGTGTAAGCTAGGGGAGAAAAACATGAAACTAATTGACGTTACTTTATGAGGGTGACTTACACTTTTCTTTATATGTCAATATAAGTCTATGATGTGAGTAGTTAGTGGACAAAAACTAATATAACCAAGTTTTTATGGCACATGAATCACTAATTATCAAGCGAAACCAATTCCAATTCTCACTTATATACTGGGGATAAAAGATGCGGCGGCACTGAAAAGAAGTTACCTAATTAGTTTCACTACACAATACCAGGCGTTTTTTACACCATTCAAAAATACATCTATATCCTCCCGATGTCATATCCAATTACATTTATGAAGTCAAATGTACCTGCCGTAGCAAGTATATAAGAAGGGCAGAGAGAAGGGCTTCTACTAGGTTTTCTGAACACATTCCCAGGAACCTACGGCTGAAAGGGAGTAAAATCTTTACAAGTGAAATAGCCAGACACCTAATGGATATAGTGGACATGACGTGAATGTGGGTAATGGATCTAATATAATAAACGAATAGAAAACAGCGATTTTATTCCGTTTGGCTTAGGCAATCGCTTTCAAACGTTTTCGACCTGATCTATATATACAACAGGAAAAGGTGATTAACCTTTCCCTGCCATTATGATTGGATACTTATCTTATAACTTGTATGAAGTTCGTTTTTTCAACCCTGTCCACAAGCTTTTTATCTTTATTATTCCTTCGACTTCTGAAATCCATCTATTACACAACCTTATTGATATTCACATACTTGTTTATTTTATCGTGTTGTTTAATTATCTAGACACTAATTTCATCATCATACACTTTGGGTCAAATGATTTTAGTAACATACCGAACATTTACTTAAATTTCACACACTAAATTATTCTATTAATTATATTAATAATCGTAGTTTTAGGTTGTATGCAACTGATGAAAAACCGTGAAAGAGAGTGAATTCATTTTATTTTTTAAACCTTTTTATTCTTGCTCTGTATACATTTATTAAGGGATCTGGGTGGATGAAAGGATGTAAAGTTTCACCGAACCAAAAAACGAATATAATCGACAGTCTATTTCTGAAACACGAGATTTTATTCTTGTTGGGACTTTAAGTTGTGGTTGATTTCTACCCTGTGCTAATTGTTGTGTCCTTGACAGAAAAACTAGAGAACAGCGTACTTATCGACCGCTTCAATGACACGTGAACACGTACGGACGTAATGGACGACCTAGAGTTACGATTGGTCCCGATTCCCTGTCTATCCCAGCCAGTTGAGTCCAGAACACAAATCTCAGCCTCTGAGTTATGAATCATTGTATTTCAGACATACTCTATTTATATACTAACCAAACATACCACATCGTACCATAAAAATAGAAAACAACATTTTGTACAATATTCAACAAGTGGACATATATCGACCAGTAGGAAATGTCCATTTAAAGTCCAAGGACACCATTGGACTTAACATGATAATTATTGGTCTATCCTTTCGCATCCACAACAATTCTGGACACATACTACAAGTACTGAATGCTAACACGCAAATATATAGTTCATACGAGAAATTCGCTTTAAATACTGTGAATAGAATCCATAAACAAGTCACCGTTAATACTATTTTCTATCTTATAACGATTTTCTTATTAAATAAACACAACATCGACGCTCAACTGTAGTTTGAGCTGACATTTTACAAATATGTTCTTTATCCTCATTGTTTTACGTCAACTAAGCGCCTAAATATTGTGAAACTAATCATTTAAATTTATACGAAAGTTCTTAAGAATGAGATAGTTGTATAGTTAAGACAGATTTACAACAGATACGTAATGAATTACGTAGGCAACTACTAGTTGTGATCAGAAAAAGCAATTTTCATTGGTAACAGTGAATTGTATAAAAGTCCAGAATTTCGTTTATTGTTAACCATCTGTTTCTAGTTTGTACTTCCTGTAATTAATTTTGTTATTATTTAAAGTTGACAAAGATTAAAAATTGAGAAAAATTAGAAATTTTAACAGAATAATCGATAATATTTGTTAAATTACTTTCAGATTACAACTTCTTTGCGTATTACCAACATGTTTTATAATCACTTGCATAACAGCTTGTGGTTGAGTTGGTTGAGGTCCTAATTCTAATTCAATTTTCTTTGAAAAATGAGTTAAAACAATATCAATGTTTTGAAGCACATTCTGAAATTTCAAAATTATGAAATACATATTATGATGTTATATTGGAATTAAACAACTAGTACAGATACTTGAATCTTTTTATCAATAAGAAACACAGATATAAACGAGTTTATCATTAGAACGATGAAAAGTAATTAATATCTAGACCATTAAATCAAAGAATAATAATCATTAGTGAAGTTGGAATAGAGGGACTCGATTGGCCATGCTACTGATAACGAGGTAGGTGCTTGTTTAGATAGAATGCAATATTCAGATACTAATCATGAGTTTTAATACAGTGAAAACGTTAGTCAGTCCTATGCAGCATCACCTAATCATTTAGGCCCGTTACAGCTTGTGCTAGAGTATAGGCCGCCCATCAGTATTTTTCATCCACCTCTGTCCTAGAAAATCCTTCCCAGTTGTTATTCAACTCAATCATTCTTGAAGGAGAAGCTCTGGAACAGGTGGAAACTTTTACGTATCTGGTCAGCACCATCGATGAACAGCACGGATCTGATGCAGACGTAAGGACAAGGTTTGGAGAAGCAGGGGGGGTATTCCTACAATTGAGGAACATATGAAACTCAAAACAACTGTCAACCAATTTTAAAGTCTGAATCTTCAATACCAATGTCAAGACAGTCAGTCCTATTGTACGAAGCTGAAACGTGGAGAACTACTACAGCCATCATCAAACATCTACAAGTATTTATAAAAATAGTCTAAGCAAGATACTCAATATCTGTTGGCCGGATACTATCAGCAACAACCTATTGTGGGAGAGAAGAAACCAGCTCCCATCTGAAGAGGAAATTAGGAAAAGACGATGGAAATGAATATGACATACATCACGGAAATCATCAAACCGTATCACTAGAAATGTGCTAACTTGGAATCCTGAATGGAAACTGAAAAGAGGAAGACAAAAGAACACACTACGTCGAGAATTCGAAAGACACATGAAAACGATGAATAGCAACTGGGAAGGTTTGCCCAGGACATAATTGTATGGAGAATGCTGGAGAGCGGCCTATGCTCCTCCATGAGGGATAACAGACGTAAGTTATTCCTTTTACAACCTACTATCCAAGGCACACTAGTTCCAATTCTATGTTTATAGTTACAAAGAAAAACGGTCTATGCACCTGCTTTTAAATTAATTACATAATTACGTATTGTGAAAAATTGTGTTGCCAGTATTGAAATATCGTAGAAGTAAATCTATCGCTTAATTTCAGCATCGAAACAAATTTGTTCTAATAAGCAAATTTGATAGTCAGATTATTGAAGAATTTAAAGTTGACTAGAACAGTGAGAATTTGTCACATTTTGATTTTTTGGGATGGGTTTATGTAAGTGTTTTTTGAGTAGTTCTTTCGTAAAAATCACTACTATATTACCTGAAAATGATTAAAGGTAAAGGTAATGGAAAATTCAATTACATGAACAACTCTAACCTGAAACGATGGATGTGAACGAAGTGATGTAAATGAATCCCTTTTATACAAAAGAGAATAAATTAAATCTGGATTCGACACCATCGTATGTGTAAGAATTGAATTAATAATTTCTAACAGCATTCGAATTACTTCTTCAAGTAAGGCTAACTCTTGAACCTACAAAAAAAACAGATATTGGCCGTAGGTTATCGTAACGAAGGTAACAACTGAAAAATATTAGAGATAGACAAAATATGTCTGTGATAGGTAATTTTCAAATGAATGTTAAGTTAATATTAATTGTTTTGTTGCAAGGAATTAAAAAAAGACCATTACACACGTTGAACTATAAATACCGGAGGTTAAATGATGAAATGCATTTTAAAACACAAATAACAAATCAGTAATTTTGTGAAGAAATTTGATTAGCTTTATTGGTACTTTAACAAGATACAAACGATTATTCTTTGAATTCTAAACGACTTAACAAGGTCGGACCTTGATCAAAACTGATATTTCAGCTTACTACTGATAAGGATTTTAGTAGATGGTTATTCCTGTTTTGTAACTAAGCAAAACTATGAATATGTTAAATAAAATTATATGTGGAAAATGTTAAAATGTGCATCACCACATAGAAGCTAGTATCTTGTACACACGTTCAGTAGCAAAGCGCTATACGAAGCAAAGGTTATAACACTTCTACTCGTAAAACAACTACATGAAAATAATGAGTAAACATAGAATGTGTTATATCCTAGTGAAGATTACATTACGAATAACGTCTGAGACCTATTAATCGACTAATATTATTTATATATTCTCATGACATAAATATTTAGTAACTAGATTATGTATATCTATATTCCCCTTGTTATAAGCTTGATTTTGACCCATATATTATTATTGTACGATTTACTGTTCTTAAGCTATGCTCAGTTTATTGACTACTGCCTCCCACGTTCACAGCCACGTTTTGGCTTTATTGTGTACATACGTTATTTCCTATTTTATGGCGAGTCGCGGCCTGTTTGATATATAAACCCAGTATTTCTGAAATAAATGATTCGATTCGCATAGTGCAAGCTGGTATTGGTATTCTGGACCCAACTCGACGGGCTAGGCGAACATAGGACCAATAAGGACGCTAGGCTGTTCATATCGGTTGAGCGTCATTGGTTTGGCACCGTGCTAAGATTGTATCAGTCCTATTTCCATTAGCGGATAAATCACGTGATAACTAGCCGAACATAAAATCACAATAGAAAGGATCGATAGTTTATGAAATCAACGAATGTGACATAATATACGATGCCACGACCACCTGAACAATACTCTCATTAACCATATTTTCATATCATAAAACAACAAAAACGAACCATTTCTTCCTGTGTATTAGATGATATAAGTGATGTATTTGATAGAAGTTTAGTGATTTCGGCAGCCGATTGTGATTGGTTGTCATCAGACATTTTACGTAAAATGTCCACAGTTTTATTATGACGCTTGATCAACAATTGCAGTAAACTGAAAATATACAAACAAGAAAACATCATTTAATTCAGAAGTCAATAGAATAACCATCTACTGATATAGAAGAAATAATAGGTTTAATTTCCAACGTTGGAAATGATGAAAGTCATACATGTAATGAAACATTTCTCGCAAATTTCACGTAGCACATTATCTTGATTGATTTCCGCAGAAAAACAAACATATCTGTGAATATTTATTGAAAGAGACCAACGAGGAACAGATTAACCAAGAGGCTATTGAGTAATGATGTCCTTAAAAGTACGGCGAAAAAACACAAAAAAGATGAGCGAATACGTATGAAACTTAAAAAGACTTTCGCTACGAAAATTACACACTTTCGTCAAAGCACTAGTATTACAACGGATCACTTCACAGAAAACGTGATCCCTGTAAAGAAATCAGTTAGTTCAGATGACCACCCGGTCGTAGGATATAATCGAAAAGCAGATTAAACATTTTTCACCCTCGTCAATAATTTTTCGAGAAAACTATTAGAAGCTGATTTATTTAAATGTTACATATTAATTCAGTTACTTAGGAGATTCATCATATGGGACTTTGTGGATATTGTACAATTTCCATATTTTAAAACACGAACTGATCTTAGCTAAACTACCATTAAAAAGCAGGAAGAACGTGACAGCTCTTTCGTCCAAGTATTCCCATAATCTTCACATACTTCGCTATATTGATAATTATCATGAGTTGATTGGTCAATAACTTCACCATGCAGTTCTGATGAGAAGCTCTGACTCGAGGAGTTCAGCCGTCTTAAATTTTAGATAGTGATCCAGGGAGTTTGATTATGAATACAGTGGTCTTGAGTGCTGTTAGAGGTTTGATGGTGATTATCACTTCCCGATTGCCTACACCGTGGAAGGGTTCTTCTAGAGGTACTTGAAAAGGAAATTCCATTAGAGGTAGTCCTAGTGACCTGAGAGCGTCACCACAGTGCCCAAGGGACAACTGCTTGAGGTCGGTCACACACGACCTTTTTATGAGTAGTTATTCTGTTAGCTCCGTACTCGTTGAGACCTTACCGACGGAGACAGATATCCGTAGGATAAGGCGGTACGACTTCGCCTTCGGACCTTGAGTTTGTCGCTTTTAGTCTTACCGCTCTTCAACTAACAGATGCAGACAAAGACAGCCAGTGTAGCAGCAGTCTCTGCATCAGTAGGCATCAGCATACACAAAGGGAAAATCAAAGTCCTCAAATTCAAAGCGGAAAACAACAATCCAATCACTCTTGATGGCGAAACTCTGGAAAATGTAGAGTCCTTCACATACCTAGGAAGCATCATCGATGAACAAGGAGGTTCAGATGCAGACGTAAAGGCAAGAATTGGCAAAGCAAGGGTCGCATTCCTACAGTTAAAGAACATATGGAACTCAAAACAACTTTCAACCAATATCAAAGTGAGAATATTCAATACCAACGTCAAGGCAGTTCTACTGTACGCACGCAGCTGAAACTTGGAGAACTACAACAACCACAATCAAGAAAGTACAAGTATTTATAAATAGCTGTCTACGCAAGATACTCAACATCCATTGGCCGGATACCATCAGCAATAGCCTTCTGTGGGAGAGAACAAACCAACTTCCAGTTGAAGAAGAAATTAGGAAAAGACGATGGAAATGGATAGGACATACATTACGCAAATCGTCAAACTGCATCACGAGGCAAGCGCTAACTTGGAATCCTGAAGGGAAGCGAAAAAGAGGAAGGCCAAAGAACACATTGCGTCGGATAATAGAAGCAGATATGAAAACGATGAATTACAACTGGACGGAGCTAGAAAGGATTGCCCAGGACAGGGTTGGACGGAGAATGTTTGTGAGCGGCCTATGCTCCTTCACGAGTAGTAACAGGCGTAAGTAAGTAAGTAAGCTCTTCAACTAACCTGTCTGACATGGTAGGACCTTGAGGAACGGCTGGTCCAGCCAGTATAGCTCGGTCGCTTCATCACTATAGGCTAGCCCGACCACCACGTCAAGGTAGCGACAGTGATCCACAATACGCGATGGAAGATGGTCACACAATATCATGAATTGACGAGAGTCTAGTGGTTTAGAGATTAGGCATTCGTGTGTGAAATTAAAAGTCCTGAGTTCGATTTTCTACAGCAGATTCATGGATCTGCACTGTCTATGAATCCCATATTAGGAATAAACGACATCACAATAGTCACTGATTCTCAATGTTAGTCCAGCTAAGATTTTAAACTACGATAATATTTGACAATTAATTGTTTAGAGGACACTTAAGAAAGTCTAGTGACTAGTTATATTATATCGTATTATGTATTAATAAACCAATTTTTAGGTAAGATAATAATGACAGATATTATTTGAGAAAAAAGTGAAATTGTGATAAGATTCAAAGGCGCCATCAAGATTTTTGAACAGTGAACATGAAAGTACTTAGGTTAGCAAACAATATTGGGTTGACATGTAACAATAATGAATAATATGTAAAAAGCCTTAAACATTATGATAGTGTGTATGTTTCATGAAAACTAATAATGAATAATTGTAATTTTTAAAAAAATTAATAACTACATCCAAGGTGTAAAAAAATGATTATGTAAAATTACTTACCCAACTAGTGTATCACATGCATGAGGATGAAGTTTAGTAATTCGGGGGGATAAGTTTGCTAGAGTTGCCAAAATATTAACATGAAGGTATTTGTCCTAATTCATAAAGAAGAACATTTACTTATAGTTTACAGTTGAATGTTGAAGTTTTTTTAAAAATTTTAATTCATATGAAACAGATAAAAATAAGTTTTAAAATAACCTCTTGATTACCATCTAAAAAGATAATCATGTACACAAAGAAAAAGGTAGTCAATAAATATCATAACACAATACGAAGTCATGTAAATAGTTTCAACTGTTAATTATGAAAACGATGGATGATGAGACTAGTTAGAGATCGAAGTTATGCCTACGTCAAAAAACTACAATCCTATTATACAATTAAAAATAATAATTGGTACAATACAGACGAAGACATGATGTGACAAGATATTCAGCAAAAATACCAGAGATTATACTCATTTGTTTTGTATTGCTTTTGAATTCGTAGTTTAAAGGTTTAATCTAAAGAGTATCATAGATACTTTACTTACTCATTATTTAAGCACATACTAAGAATGCTCAATATGAAACAAGTACGAGTGTACGGAGTGCACAAATAATATAATGCAACAAATAAACCAAGGGGAAATAAGGAGGAAATTAAGCCACTTAAAACAAACGTTCTGATGCAGCAGTTTAGTATTGATGAAAGATGCCTATGTACCTAAATGTGGATCTACCTTATTTGACCATAAAAAAACATTAATTCCTGAGAAAATTAATCCAACTGGTGAACTAAACATGATAAATGACACTGAATAAATTTTCTACAAATTGAGTTTCTATTCAATTGTTACATAAACCTAAGGAAGTAATTATGCACTTTTGACAGCAACGGACTTCAGGAAGCTCATAAAATGAAACAGGTGTAAAGAAATCCCGAAAAAAGATACGTAAAAGAACGTATCTTACCTTCAGTTGGTTCAAATGGTATTGAATGGTACGACAAAGAACTAATACAGTTAAACTTCCATATGAAACATTCGAAAGTCGACGACTTGATGACCACTGAACCCATTTAATATCCTTAAAAAGAGAAGTTGGATAGTCGACGAAACAGTATATAACAGCAAGGAGAGAAAATAACATTTATTAATTAATACAAAAGTGTACGCATAGAACGGAAAAATATCAGGATGTAGGTAGCATTTTGAACAAACAAAAGGAGACCATAGGTACTTAAGTGGGTCATTTAAATAGTCAATGATTGATGAAACATAATGGTTTGACCCCTCCCAGTCATTTTTCAAAAAACCATAATAGTCAGTAGGCCGTAACACAATTATGACACGTGGTCACCGTGTATATTTCTAAGTTCAATATTATTACCTTTATTCAATATTATACTCTTGGTAAAACACATAATTCTCAACACAAAGTACTTCAACAAGTTTCCATTTCATACTTCTTGGTCGATCCTGACGACAAATATTGAATAGTCACCAGTTAGAAGTTAGCAGTTGAGGAATCGACATCTGAATAATGTACATTCTTTTCGCTGCATATTGCCAGCGACAACAATGTACCTTGTACAGCGAAATATCATTAACTTCTGATAAACGCACCTGGATAGGTTATGAGACTATTAGACATAATGATGTGAACAAAGAAACAGACAACTTGCTGAAATATCTAGATTGCAGGAACGAGTTGTCCAGATACTCAAGCAGGCCGCTTGTCTAGTTTGGAATACTATACAAAAACAAAACACGATTTCTTAGGTGGTTTTATTACATGCGAGAATAAGTATACAACTGACCAATTTTATTTCGTTTGTTTGTTTACTAATTCTCTGAAAAAGCAACTTAAGTTGCTAAACGTCAGAAACCCGAATTTTTACTCATAACGGTACCAAAAATATATCATTATTTTATTATTATTACTCTAACCAGTGCTTAAGTTACACCTTGGTATTGGTACCTAAAACTAACTTATCACTTATTTTGAGCACCTAAAACAATTTTAACATAAAAATCCTAAACATGGCTTTTGAGGATTTTTCCACCGTAACACACAAAAATAAGTAATTTAGAATGATAAATAATCAAGTAGATACAATGGAATTCATTTTTCAAGTACAGGTTTATATGGATCGGTTGAGGATAGACATTAACACCGTGGGATGCAGGCCCAGTGGTTAAGCGTTCACGAGCGTGGAGAACGGTTGAACTCACTAACTAATATTTGAAAGCCAAATATTTCAGATGTAGAGCTGCTGAGAAATTATTAAAGGAGTGAAGCTCAGGAGCCTAGGTCTAAAGTGCCTCTAGTTAGAAAAAAATAACCAAGCGGTTGGGTCGCCTTAAAATACGTATTTAGAAAACTTCCTACAGACCTTTTAATATGTTGATTCAGTAGTTTCCAGCACACATTGGCCGATAATTCAATTATACGAAATAAAAAACGTGAGTCGAATATCTTTGTATATCAAATGAACGATCAATTAACTTAGAAACGAAGATGGAAACTATTTCACGACAGTGCAAATAAAGTGTATTTTCACTTGAAAGAGACTTATAGTCTCACATCAAAGAATACTCTACTCAAAAACACTATTTTTCTACGATACGTACAACCTAGGAATTAAGTAAAAGGAATTTTTCCTTATCGATTATACATGACTAAAAAGTTCAACAACATTCAACATCTGATTCTAAGAGGCACTTTTATCGACTTAGTCGACAATTTTTATTAATTTAAAATGTTTGTAATGAAACATGAGTAAAAGCCATAAATTACTTAACAATGAGATAGCTAATGAAGTTTTAAAGAGAATAACAATTAGTAGCAATTCCTGATTGAATACTCATTTCTTAATGATTAAATTATCAGTCTAATTACAACTAGAACAGAAGCAGTCAAAATGGTAAATCAGTTGATGAGGTTGTTAATCCTCATCGACTGAGATGGTTGGGCCACGTGTTACGTATGCCTGAACACCGATTACCACGACATGCGATGCTAACTGGTGTTGGAGATGGAAGAAAATAAGGGGCGGCCAAACCAAAACGTGGCATCAGTGCTTGAAGTCACTAACCTCTAGTTTGAGCCATGTTGGTAGATGCAGACTACTTGGTTGGGGTCCGCGTGACTTTCATAACCAATGGTTGGAGACTCTTGGTGACATGGCTCAGAATCGATGCACAATGGCGTCGGTGCACACACTCCATATCTTCCCTTAAACTAAGAGATTGAAATCACTTCATATCTTTCTGTCTACGAACTAATTCTATATTCCGGTACTGTATCCTTATATGCAATCTTTCTCCTATATATTACCACCTTTAACCTAACCACTCTCATGAATCCGGTGTTCATCTTGCTGTGCTAACGAGGTATGGCAACCTGGACCGATGCATATATGTGCCTGGTCCTACGTTGTAGCTGACTGACTGATTGGAGTCAAAATTTCAATAAGGAATTATTAACTTCAGATATTTAAACATATCAATATGAAAACCAACTTAACGGAAGTAATTAAATATTACGAACATAAACCCTTTACGGTGTTTTCAGTCCAAACTAAACAATCAACGTAATTACTCATCAGAGAGATTCAAAACCATTACGGTAACTGATCACATAAATAAATTAACCAGCGCCCCCAAATGCCCTGGTATGGTCTAGAGTGGAGAGTCAACTGTCCCTCTCCAAATGCTTTCACATGACCACGTGCATACGACCACTACCAGGGAAATCCCACTCACTGCCTTCTCGAGGCACTAATGTTGTTTACGAAATTAAGAAGACGAAAAGAGAATGTGCGGCGCCTTAACCGGGTTGGTGAACACAGAGAGTCCGCCTGGGAGAGTTGGAAAACCCTGATTCCAAACCAATCGTGCACATGGGCTTCAGTATCCTGACGAAACAAATAGCGTATAGACCAACTGTTGGTCACCAGCACCATGGGACTGCATCTCCTGACGTTGCTCTACTGCCTCGTGGATCGGATCTTTAGGTCGAAGGCTTTGGGTGTCCCCCCCCTAACAAAACCACCTGCTTCAGTAAAGGCACCCAGGCAGTATCCCAGCACTCACACAAATCGAATGATTCATGTGACTCATATCTATTTGGTGCCTCCTTGTACCAATGTTTATGTGTTTAAATAAATAAATGAGTAACGATTTGATTTGATTTTGTATGACAAACAACAATTCTTGATTCACATATTACAATTTTAACTGATGTACGCTGCTTTAAATCCGGCCAATGTAATGGTATATTAATTTGGATTTATAATTGTAGAACTGATAGGTCCCGATAAGCCTAATAAATGGTAATTTTTGGGATCCATTTGTGAACCGATACAATGAGTATATTTTCATCGTATAATTGTTAATTAACTAAACTATTCATATTCATGTCTCTATTATCATAAGCTTTATTTTAACCTATAAACTGTTATTACACGAATTACCATTCTTGAATTATACCCTGTCTATTAGTCACTGCCTTTCACCTTCACAGCCACATTTGGCAAAATATTGTACAAATGTTATTTTCCATTTTATGGTACGATGTGGTCTGTCCGATTGGTATATAAACCCAGTATGTTTCAAATAAACGAGGCTGGGATTGGTGTTCTGGACATAACTGGCTGGGCTAGACGGAAAGCAGGACTAATAAGGACTCTAGACTGGTCGGACGGGTCTTACGCGTCATTGGTCCGATCGATAATTTACTGCTGTCTAATTGGCGGTATCGTGACGTTATACCTTAACAGAGCACACAGGCCACAAGTTATAACAATAACCTGATGAGAAATTATTGAAAAGAATATTCTTCGTCTATATAATTGATTTTTAAATAAATAACTCACTGATGTGTGAATATCGCGTCCAAATTGTTCATTTTCCGTAAATATCAACAAAAGAATTAATGCCATGTAGACAAGATGCGAGTTATGTGACTGGGATTTATAAAGAATATTTAATAGTGGTGGAAGCTGAAAATAAATTGATAAAGGAAATGTTAATGTACAAAGAACAAGATTTTATTTTCATAACTGACAAACAAAACACATTCAAAATATTGAGAATATTATTTATTAGTACATCATTTCATTCAGTCAGCTACAACGTAGGACCAGGCACATATATGCATCGGTTCAAGTTGTCATACCGCATTAGCACAGCAAGATGAACACCAGATTTATAGGCGTGGTTAAGTCACAGGTGGTAATATATAAAAGAAAGATTGCAATAAGGATATAGTATGGGAAGAAAGAATTAGTACGTAGAAAGAAAAATATGATGTGATTTCAATCTCTTAGTTTAAGGGAAGATATGGAGTGTGTGCACCGACACCATTGTGCATCGATTCTAAGCCATGTCACCAAGAGTCTCCAACCATCGGTTGTGACAGTCACGCGGACCCCAACCAAGTAGTCTGCATCTACCAACATGGCTCAAACTAGAGGTTAGTGACTTCAAGCACTGATGCCACGTTTCGGTTTGGCCGCCCCTAATTCTCTTCCAACCATCCCTAACAGCCGTTAGCATTGCACGTCATGGTAATCGGTGTTCAGGCATACGTAACACGTGGCCCAACCATCTCAGTCGATGAAGATTAACAACCTCATCAACTGATTTAACATCATTCCCTAATACCCTGCGTCTAGCCTCACTATTACCTACCCGGTGATCCCAGCAGACGCCAGCAATATTTCTAAGGCATCTGTGGTCAAATACTAGTAGCTTACGAGTGTTTTCTACTCTTAAAGGCCATGTTTCGCTGCCGTAAAGTAAAACAGAACGGACTGCCGCGCAGTATATTCGTCCTTTTATTGATAAACGGATATCTCGCCTTCGCCAAAGGTGACGTAGGTTGGCAAAAGCCAAACGAACTTTTCAAATCCGTGCTGAGGTTTCGTCAGACACCAACCCATTAAGGCTGATCAGTCTTCCAAGATAAGTGAAGTTGTCAACGCGTTCGACCGCTTCACTCCCTATCCTTTGTTCAGGTGTTGACGCAGACCAGTCCTGAAGCAACAACTTGCATTTAGAAGGAGAGAAGCGCATTCCAAACATTCTGGCATTGTTGCTTAGTGCTACCAGAAGACTCTGCATTTTATCAGCGTCTTCATCAAACAGGACTATGTCATCTGCGTATTCTAAGTCGATAAGTGGACCTCCTGGAAGCAGATCAATACCCGAGAACTCAGTCGACGAGAAAGTTATTTCCGTCAATAGGTCTATGATGAAGTTAAACAGAAATTGAGAAAGTGGGCAGCCTTGACGGACACCACTTGAGGTTGCAAAACTAGATGACAGTTCGAAATAAGCTCTGACTCGACTAGTAGTGTTCGAGTAAAGAGCCATCCTTAAAGACATCTGGAGCCAATCCATCCTGACCAGCTGCCCTTCCTCGTTTCAGATTAACTATAGCCTTTTCAACTTCAGATAGAGTCGAGGGAACTACTTCAATGTTCCATTCACATTGTCTGAGAATGGAGGGTAGTTGTAGAGTAGCTGATGGCCAGCTGAACTGTTCTCTGAAATGTTCCGTCCATCGTTCTAAACGTCTGGACTGAGAGCAGATGAGAGTATCGTCTTTTTCCGAAATAATCTCACTTACAATTGACTTATTAATTCCAGTTTCTTTTATTAGTCTTTAGAGCTGTCTTGTGTTACCTATAGCCGCTGCCTTAATGATTAAATTATCAGTCTAATTACAACTAGAACAGAAGCAGTCAAAATGGTAAATCAGTTGATGAGGTTGTTAATCCTCATCGACTGAGATGGTTGGGCCACGTGTTACGTATGCCTGAACACCGATTACCACGACATGCGATGCTAACTGGTGTTGGAGATGGAAGAAAATAAGGGGCGGCCAAACCAAAACGTGGCATCAGTGCTTGAAGTCACTAACCTCTAGTTTGAGCCATGTTGGTAGATCCAGACTACTTGGTTGGGGTCCGCGTGACTTTCATAACCAATGGTTGGAGACTCTTGGTGATATGGCTCAGAATCGATGCACAATGGCGTCGGTGCACACACTCCATGTCTTCCCTTAAACTAAGAGATTGAAATCACATCATATTTTTCTTTCTACGTACTAATTCTTTCTTCCCATACTATATCCTTATTGCAATCTTTCTTTTATATATTACCACCTGTGACTTAACCACGCCTATAAATCTGGTGTTCATCTTGCTGTGCTAATGCGGTATGACAACTTGAACCGATGCATATATGTGCCTGATCCTAACGTTGTAGTTGACTGACTGACTGAATAACTAGATTTTTTGGGACAGAAGAAATATTACATTAATTGAATCGAGTTATCTGCCGATATTAGCGATAGTATAGCGTATCAAAAAGTTAACGAAACTAATGTTAATCCTAACATTTGTCTAAGCATCAACATATAGGCCACCATGGAACTAAATCATTCACCAAGGACTGGAATATGAGCCGGACTTTAGGTATGAAAACTACTGATATTTCCCGATCAACCAAGCCGACGTAGGTGGAGAGGGCGTTGGAGCCTGAGACTCAGTGGTAGTAAGTCGAACACCTTAACCACTAAACCACAACGCCATGGTTGATAAACGACGTATCATTTAATAGTTATTTTAGAAACAGTACTATAGAATTGCGAGTGGGTATATGTTTTAAGATGTTTTGTAGCATAAATAATTCCTATAAAAACTTTGGTTCCAACAACATCCAAACTACCATACGGTGGTAGAGTATACGCCATGAGAGTATGAATACTCTACAATTCATCCCAATAACATCTAACCTCATATAGTTGTCTGGTAGATATGATGTTTATTATATAATGGTTCCAAATAAACTAATTACATGTAATGTTTTACAAATAATTTTGCTCCACTTACAATCGCAATGATAATGTAAGTCACTTTGAAACTAACAATAGCATACGAAACAGAATTAATCGTTATATTGGTGTTTTGTAGCACAAACGATATAAAAACTGACTTCTTACCACTTTCTCATAACCCCGCTCTTGCATAATGAACGAATGAAAGTTTGTATTTCGATGAACTAAAAGGTACAATAACAGTGGGCTACTGTCCTGAGACAATGTCGAGGCTGCTGTATCACAGATTGCAGTGAAATTTATTTGTGGTGATGATGATTGAGTAACTATGTTTAAATGTCCATTTAATGTAGCACCACCTGGCTGTAATCGAGGGGCTGAAGTACAAATAACATATACAAGACGAATGAAGCCGCTCAACATACTTGGTATGCAATAAATATTTATTCAAATCTATAGTCCTATCACGAATTTATATGATAGTAAAACAAGCAGTTGTGTGGACAGATATAAACATGTGACCGTTGCATTTGTAATAGTAACTTTATTGGATAGTATACGTTCATATACAATTGATCGTAACATTTTACCACATGTACGTTTGTCTATATTGTCCTTCGGTTATTTCGTGTATACATACAACCGAGTCAACCATTAATTCTTCTACCACTACACCTCACGGAAAACTTGCATTGTACAAGTTCGCTTGAAATATAATTCGTATCCATTTTCCACTCATTTGTAAAACCCATATATTAGAGCAGAGCCCTAATGAAGAACCAAATGAAAGAAATATTTCTTTCCTCAACTTGTCGTTTTAATGTTTCGATGAGAATATTTAATACATTTGAAATTTATTTTCCATACCTTAACTTTTATCTCAATTTCTCAAAGAAATATGAATCACGTGATCAATAGTGACCGGCTTCACGATGGGCTTCCTGCAGTGCTAGTGAGAAGCCGTGACCAATGGAGTTCAACTGTATCTGTTTTGAGGCTATTACTCACTGAAAACAATGGTGGACGGTTGCGCGATTTCGTGGATTGGTTGAAGCTAGACATTAACACTGTTGGATGCCGGCTCAGTCTAGTGTTCAAGCGAGATCGAAGGTCCTGGGTTCGAATTCTACGTGCGGGATCGTGAATGCGCACTGCTAAGGAGTCCCATATGAGAACGAAACGACTGTCCATTGCTTCCAGGTTTTCAATGGTGGTCTAACATTGATCCACACATGATACCAATCTAAACTCAACGATCTGCACAACCCTGTACTGATAATTTGAATATATGTCGATAGTAAGTCTAATGAGATATACGAAGTTACTCACTGTGGAATAGACAGTAACATGAACACGTTAATGATCTTCAGTTGGAGAGTAATTGAAACCGCAGAGATCAAGAGCTATTCCAGTTGAATTTCGTGATTTTATCAGGGTGCACCAAAGACTCTAACTTCGATTATTATTATTATTATTATTATTATTATTATCATTCAAGTTATAACAAGCATTAGTTGTCTGGTTCCTTCCAGCTTGGCTAACACTTTAATTACTTTGAAAAACAATCCAGTAACATTATTTTAAAAACCTCTGATATCACATAAAGATTAAAATACTTATTCGAACATAAAAATATTCATAATAGTGCAGCTGCGTATGCACAGCCTACAGTTTATTATCAAAATTGCTCTCTTTAACTTTAATCAGAACAGCGAATCGGTACTTTAACGTATTCGTATAAGATTACTTTGGCTATATAACCTGAAATCAATACATAACGTTCTTAACCGAAGGCTTTTATGTTTCTTTTCATCCATCAATTAACATTAAATTCACCTTCGTAGAAGTTAAAGTGTTGATAAATATTAAAAATCAAGCATTAGTGTTATTTACGATCATAAAAATGAATAATAGTGAGTGAACTTGTGCACAAAAGCCTTAATGCTTAAGACTAACTTGACTTTGGCAGCACGTGAGTTGTATCCATTATTGAATCAACTTGGTTTTTTTGAGTAACTTCATCTTGTAAAGAAAAAAGTGTTGTTCGATATGGATTTCGTCCTAGAGAATTTGAATCTTTAATATTATTTTCTGAATAAGTTGATATAGTCTTCTCAATAGATCCAGCCTGAGTAGTAAGTATCAATAAAAGTAGTGAGCTGACATTTGACAATAGATGACACTGTTCGTTTGATTTTATAGTTGATTCTGATGTTAAAAGATCTGTGGAAACATTATTTTTTACTGGTTCAACAACTGCAACATGCGGACTGTTCTGTATATCTGATTTTGTTGAACTATTGGCAGTGCGACTGAAGTAACCACCAAGTGTGACGATTGTAACTAAACTACCTAAAATTAAGAAATATGAATTTCAATAATACCGCACAATTTACTATGGTACATCATTAAACACAACTACTGCTACTAACTCGATGGGTGAATAAAGTCACCCGAATATATTTGGGTCTGACAACCATTGCCTAAACATCGCTTATTTCATCAGAAGCTTGTCAGCTTTTATTTATTTATTATTTGTACCAGATATATATATGTGCCAGCAATAACAACGAGAATGGGAAGAGAAAGAGGTATACGGTACGCATAAGGGAGAAGAAAAATAAGAGAACAATAACGACAACTGTTTAGTGTATGATAGTGTAATAATAATAATAATAATAATAATAATAATAATAATAATAATAATAATAATAATAATAATAATGAGGGAAACGGAAAGGTATAATCAGAAGAAATCTTTCAGTTAAGGAAGAAACGACCAATTTTATAAGGAAAGTAAAAGAAGGTTACAGCAGGATCGCCACTGGCTTCTATAATCAGCCATATCTGATAACGTCTCTAGCCACTGTGTTGCACCATCTCTCGGACCCCAACCAGGGAGTCGTGAAGGACCAACAGAAAACATCCCTTTAAATTTTTCTTTCATACCACGACACTATGTCATACATTGACAACCTTTCCGCTTCTTCCGACCAGTGCCAACGTCTGCAAATAATGCACGACGTGGAATTTTCTGGGACGACATTCGTAGAACATGTCCAAGCCACTGAAGTCGGTGTTTCAAGAAGGTGATACTAAATGCATTAACGTCTCTGCACACGAACACACGATGCCAAACCTTTGCATTACTGACATGGTGTTGCCACTGGATGTCAGCAATCCTTAGGAGACAACGATGATCAAACACTGAGAGTCGTCTAACATCCTCAACTCGGAGAGGCCACGTTTCAAAAACATAGAGCAGAACTGCTCTCACCGACGCGTTGTAGATCCGACCTCTTACAGCCAGACTAACATCATGAAGGTGCCAAAGTGGCCCAGATTGGCATAAGCCGCAGTGGCTTTCACTATACGTGCATTGATCTCATCACTCACGCCACCACAAGCAATTATGCAGCTACCTAGGTACACGAACTTTTCGACTACTCCTATGTGCTCACCATTCAGGGTGAGTACAGGATTAGAATCCTGCCAGTCTTGTAGAACCCGACCGTTGTTGCTACCTTGACGTGGTGGTCGGGCTTGCCTATCGTGATGAAACAACCGAGCTATATTGACGGGAACAACTGTTCCTCAAGGTCCTACCACGTCAGAAAGGTCGGTTGAAGAGCGGTAAGACTAAAAGCAACAAACCCAAGGTCTGAAGGCGAAGTCGTACTGCTGACTGTACAGAGGTGTGACAGCAGTAACGTGTTTCCTTCAGACAACCAGCATGACAGGGATGCTGCCTTCCCACAAGGAGGGGTGGGGTTAGAAAAGGTCGACCATAAAAATGCACACCTCGCCTTATCCCACGGATATCCGTCTCCGGCGGTAAGGTCTCAACAAGTACGGAGCTAACAAAAAAATGCCCATAGAAAGGTCGTGTGTGACCGACCTCAAGCAGCTGTCCCTTGGGCACTGCGGTCACGCTCCCAGGTCACTAAGACCACTTCTAATCCGATTTCCTTTTCAGGTGCCTCCAGAAGAACCCTTCCACGGTGTGGGCAACCGGGAAGTGATAACCGCCCTTATACCTCTAACAGCACTCAAGACCACTGGATTCATAATCAACCTCCCTCTTCAATTCCTATTATTCCCCCTACATTGACTTTCAATTCTAAATTTCCTCTTTCGGCTTCCTCCTCAAGTATCACCATAGCCAACGATTCTAGTGCTCAAAACACTGTCCCAGGCCTACTGAAACCTCGCTCCAAACTACACATTGGAGCCTTCAACGTACGCACCTTATGTCAAATCTGTCAACAGGCTTCCTTGGCTAGAACCCTAGAATCTCGTACCGTTGATGTGTGCTGTGTCTCCGAAACATGCATACAGGATCCCAGTGTGGTTATTCACTTGACCTCACCTCGGCAAAACGGAGAGCCAACGAGATACACCCTCCGTGTATCTGGTGACCCGATGGCCAGATCTCGATAATGGTGATCGTCTGCTGCAACTGTGCTCAGGCAATCGTTAATTCTTAGCAAACACAAATTTTAAACATAAAGAGAGACATCGTCTAGCATGGCGACCCCCTACACCAAACCAACGATGGACTCAAATAGACCATATTGCCATCAGTCATCGTTGAAGAGGGTCGGCACAAGATTGTCGCTCATTCTGGAGTACCTGCTTGGACTCCGACCATGCCCTAATACGGGCACGCATCTGCTTGCGCTCACTGGACGCAAAATGCCACATTAAAAAGACCCGTTAGAACTGAGTCGAGTAACGATAAAACCAAAAGTAAGTTCCAGGAACAACTGAGGTCACACTTAGGTAGTTCTGAAGACGAGGCTGACCCAGATGTTGCTTGCAAAGGCATACAATCAGCTGTGGAAACAGCAGTGACATCTATTAGTGACTAAAACCACAGAGTTACAAGGACCCAGTGGATTTCTTCAAGGTCTATCACACTGATGGATTCTCGCAAACTCATCCCATCAGGTTCCGAACATGGTGAAGAGCGACAAAAAATCAGATCTATGTTAAGAGAAAGTCTTACGAACGACCGTGAGCAGTGGTGGGCAACGAAAGCAAAAGAGATGGAAAAGGCAGCGGCTATAGGTAACACAAGACAGCTCTAAAGACTAATAAAAGAAACTGCAATTAATAAGTCAATTGTAAGTGAGATTATTTCGGAAAAAGACGATACTCTCATCTGCTCTCAGTCCAGACGTTTAGAACGATGGACAGAACATTTCAGAGAACAGTTCAGCTGGCCATCAGCTACTCTACAACTACCCTCCATTCTCAGACAATGTGAATGGAACATTGAAGTAGTTCCCTCGACTCTATCTGAAGTTGAAAAGGCTATAGTTAATCTGAAACGAGGAAGGGCAGCTGGTCAGGATGGATTGGCTCCAGATGTCTTTAAGGATGGCTCTTTACTCGAACACTACTAGTCGAGTCAGAGCTTATTTCGAACTGTCATCTAGTTTTGCAACCTCAAGTGGTGTCCGTCAAGGCTGCCCACTTTCTCAATTTCTGTTTAACTTCATCATAGACCTATTGACGGAAATAACTTTCTCGTCGACTGAGTTCTCGGGTATTGATCTGCTTCCAGGAGGTCCACTTATCGACTTAGAATACGCAGATGACATAGTCCTGTTTGATGAAGACGCTGATAAAATGCAGAGTCTTCTGGTAGCACTAAGCAACAATGCCAGAATGTTTGGAATGCGCTTCTCTCCTTCTAAATGCAAGTTGTTGCTTCAGGACTGGTCTGCGTCAACACCTGAACAAAGGATAGGGAGTGAAGCGGTCGAACGCGTTGACAACTTCACTTATCTTGGAAGACTGATCAGCCTTAATGGGTTGGTGTCTGACGAAACCTCAGCACGGATTTGAAAAGTTCGTTTGGCTTTTGCCAACCTACGTCACCTTTGGCGAAGGCGAGATATCCGTTTATCAATAAAAGGACGAATATACTGCGCGGCAGTCCGTTCTGTTTTACTTTACGGCAGCGAAACATGGCCTTTAAGAGTAGAAAACACTCGTAAGCTACTAGTATTTGACCACAGATGCCTTAGAAATATTGCTGGCGTCTGCTGGGATCACCGGGTAGGTAATAGTGAGGCTAGACGCAGGGTATTAGGGAATGATGTTAAATCAGTTGATGAGGTTGTTAATCTTCATCGACTGAGATGGTTGGGCCACGTGTTACGTATGCCTGAACACCGATTACCATGACGTGCAATGCTAACGGCTGTTAGGGATGGTTGGAAGAGAATTAGGGGCGGCCAAACCGAAACGTGGCATCAGTGCTTGAAGTCACTAACCTCTAGTTTGAGCCATGTTGGTAGATGCAGACTACTTGGTTGGGGTCCGCGTGACTGTCACAACCGATGGTTGGAGACTCTTGGTGACATGGCTTAGAATCGATGCACAATGGTGTCGGTGCACACACTCCATGTCTTCCCTTAAACTAAGAGATTGAAATCACTTCATATCTTTTTTTCTACGAACTCATTCTATATTCCGGTACTGTATCCTTATATGCAATCTTTCTCCTATATATTACCACATTTAACCTTACCACTCTCATGAATCCGGTGTTCATCTTGCTGTGCTAACGAGGTATGGCAACCTGGACCGATGCATATATGTGCCTGGTCCTACGTTGTAGCTGACTGACTGAGTCATGTAGAAGTACTTTGCATTTCAAAGGTGCAAAGCACATACCATACCTACGGACACTGATTGCCAACTGATTAAGTGCGGACTGCATGCCTCGGGCATTATCGCACAGTAATAAATATCGTCCACATGCTCAGGGTCGAGAAGTCTTTTTCCAGGCAACAGATCCACACCACCATTACTTACATCCGTCAGAGCTGTTTCCAGAATATCATCGATGGCAAAGTTGAAGAGGAATGGTGAGATTGGGCAACCCTGTCTAACCCCACTGCTCGAATGGAACAATGGAGAGAGGTGGTTGTATGCCCTCACTCTGCCTGATGTGTTGGTATATAGGGCCTTTAAGATGTTAATAAACTTCTCAGGCACACCCTTCTTCAATAGACAATTCCAGAGAACAGTCCTATCCAACGAATCGAAGGCAGCCCTGATGCCAAGAACAGATAATGGCGATCGTCTGTTGCAGCTATGCTCAGATAACCGCCTGTTCCTTGCAAATACTAACTTTAAGTATAAGGAAAAACATCTTTTAACATGGCGACCCCCTAATTCGTCCCAACGTTGGACCCAAATAGATCACATCACTATCAGCCACCGATGGAGGGGCTCGATAGAAGACTGTCGCTCATTCTGGAGCACATGCCTAGATTCAGATCATGCTCTAGTGCGAGCGCGTATTTGCTTGCGTCTTACTGGACGTAGGAAAGACGCTGCAAGGAAACCTCTTAGGGGCCTACCTAATAATAGTCAAGCTAAGAGTATATTTCAGGAACAACTAGGAAAACAGTTAGGCAGCCATGTATGTGATGCCCACCCCGATGCAGCATGGAATGATATCCGAAAAGCTGTGGAAACAGCAATGATATCTGCTAGTAAGGTAAACCACAAGGTTAGGGAGCAACACTGGATCTCAGCAGCATCTATCGCACTGATAGATGCTCGGAAACTCATTCCACCTGGCTCTGAACATAGTGAAGAGCGGAGTCAGCTTAAGCGCAAGCTGGCAAGAAGTCTACGCAATGATCGCGAACAGTGGTGGGTAGCGAAAGCAAGAGAGATGGAAAAGGCAACGGCAATAGGTAATAGCAGACAATTGTTTAGACTCGTTAAGGAAACCGGAATTAGGAACCCGACTGTTAGCGAAACAATCTCAGAGAAAGATGGACATATTATTCATTCTCAATCCAGGAGATTGGATCGATGGGCAGAACACTTCAGGGATCAGTTCAACTGGCCTTCAGCCACACTTCGGTTTCCCACGATCTCCAGTCAACCTGAATGGCAAGTTAATGTAAGTCCTCCGTCTCTTTATGAAGTTGAAAAAGCCATAGGAAATCTGAAACGAGGGAGAGCAGCAGGCCCTGACAGGTTTACTCCTGAGATTTTTAAGGATGGTGGTCCAGTATTAGCAATGAGATTAACCGAGGTCTTAGGTAGAATTTGGGAACTGGACGTAATCCCATCTGACTGGTCTCAATCACTGATTGTACCAGTTTATAAGAAAGGACAAAAGTCCTCTTGTGACAATCACAGAGGAATCAGTTTGACTAATATAGTGTCTAAAATATTAGCTTCAATAATACTGCGACGCCTAATCAAAGCTCATGAAGAGCAAACTAGAGAAAACCAGGCCGGTTTTCGACCTGGACGTGGTTGTATAGATCAGATATTCACACTACGTCAGGTTCTAGAACACAGACACACATTCAGACGCCCCACAATGGTAGTATTTCTCGATCTTAAGGCGGCATTCGACTCTGTTGACCGTGAGGTTCTATGGCAGTGTTTGTCACTGAAAGGAGTACCAAAGAAGTACATTAACCTTATAAAGGCTCTCTACTCGAACACATCTGGTAGAGTGAGAGCTTATGGCGAACTGTCATCAGAATTGATTACCTAAAGTGGTGTTCGTCAGGGCTGTCCACTCTCCCCATTCTTGTTCAACTTTGTGGTCGACGTACTTTTAGAGATAACACTCTCCTCATCTAAATTTCCGGGGGTTGAACTTCTACCGGGAGGTTCACTTGTTGACTTAGAATATGCAGATGACATAGTTTTATTTGGTGAAGACGCTGACAAAATGCAGAGTCTTCTGACCACTCTAAGCAACAATGCAAGCATGTTCGGGATGCGATTCTCTCCCTCGAAATGCGAAATGTTGCTTCAGGATTGGGTTACATCGACACCCGAACTAGTGATAGGGAGTGAAGTAGTTGAGTGTGTCGACCGCTTCACTTATCTTGGAAGTCTCATCAGCCCTTGTGGTCTGGTGTGTGACGAAATCGCAGCACGGATACAGAAGGCTCGACTAGCTTTTGCCAACTTGCGTCATTTATGGCGTAGGCGAGATATCCGTTTATCAACCAAAGGACGTGTTTACTGCGCAGCAGTTCGTCCCGTCCTACTTTATGGCAGTGAAACATGGCCGGTAAGAGTAGAGGATATTCGTAGGTTACTAGTATTCGATCATAGGTGTCTTCGAAGTATTGCTCGTATATCCTGGGACCACCGAGTAAGTAACGCAGCTGTTAGGAAACGGGTACTAGGTAAGGATGGCAAATCAATTGATGAAGTAGTAAAACTTCATCAGTTGAGATGGCTGGGACATGTGTTACGTATGCCCAACCACCGACTACCTCGACGCGCTATATTCAGTGGTATAGGAGTAGGTCGGAAGAAAGCTAGGGGCGGCCAGACCAAAACATGGCACAAATCCATGAAGTCACTGACAAGTAAACTGAGTCATGTTGGTAGGTGTAGACTACCTGGTTGGGGACCGCGAGATGATAGCAACCGATGGTTAGAGACCCTGAATGACATGGCTCAAAATCGATTGCAATGGCGCAGGTGCATACACTCTCTATGTTCTCCCGAATTCTAATTATCTGAATTCTTCATGCCCCTTTTTTTCCTCTTTCCAAATTTATTTCACTGGATTATACTCGTTAAATAACATCTCCAAACCCTAATCTTCCCGATTACTGCTTATACTCTTGCTTCCTCTACCACTACGGGATTTGAATCGACCACTGCATCTCTGTGCTAATGTGGTATGGCAACTCGAACTGATGTACGTACGTACTAAGTTCTACGTTGTTACTGACTGACTGACTGACTGACTGACCAAGAAACACTATAATTTTCGGCCTTTGATAAGTATGACGGTGTTCTAACATTTGGCGGAGGGTGAAGATATGATCAATACATCCTCGACCAGAACGAAACCCAGCCTGCTCCTCGCGAGTCCATCTTTCTCGGGTTTTGAACAACCTACCAAGTATGACGGACGTCAATAGCTTGGACGCAATCGGACATGGCCAGCCCTATCTGCACAAAATCTGTACACAATCGAACTAGGTAAACACAAATCTTAACAATGATTATTCATTACCAAGTTACTACATTGAACAGATTTATGACCCTAAATCCGGAAATACTAAGCATGAAATCTGGTGTACCTGAAAAAGTAACTTCAAAAAGATAGTCTACCAGGGAGAGATGTATGCAGTAAAGTAGATTAGACATACCTGCAATAGACGACGCCGCACGCCATATTAAACTGTATTGTTCAATGCCATGTAAAAGTGTTGGGACAGGACGATTTTCAGAAAAGTTAGACAATAATCGGTAAACTAAAGCAGGAGCAAGAGATGCACTGGAATGCAAAAAAAGAAGGAAACGACTAACAGACAATCAGGCTAAACAATAAAAAGTAGTTGATCTGATTTTGAAATGCAATACTTGCGTTCCTGTAAAGATACATAATAAAACGGATAAACACTTAAAGTAACTGCTTCGGAAAAAGAGAGTAAAAATGTTACTGCAAGGCGGAATCTTAACTCCACCTGGAGACCCTTTAGAGCTAATGTCGGTCCCGAGCCAGAATAAAGGAGGAGGGTTAGAAATAGGGTTAGCGACCCCATCCCGTAGAAAACTAGCTCGCTAAAAAACGCTAACCAGAAAAAAATAATTCAAACCAATTAAACTCCGTCGTGGGAGTCAGAAGGTCTTCATTCAGAAGAGTTAGGACGCCTCATGATGGAAACCGATTTCCTTCGGAAGTCACGAGGCTAATGTCCCTTCTGCTAACCAGAGCAACCATTTATTTAAGTACATGGAATGTTCGTACAATCTAGGAGACTAGGAGAGTCATACAAGTTACTGCAGAAATGAAAAGATACAACGTGGAGGTGCTTAGAATCAGCGAAACACAATGGACGCAGGTTGGACAACAAAGACTAGCTTCAGGAGGGCTGCTGATAAACTCCGGCTATGAAGAAAATGCTCAACATACACAAGAAGTTGCACTAATGCTATCCAGACAAGTATAAAAAGCGCTTATAGGATGGTAATTTCATGTAACCAGGATCATCAAAGCCTCCCTCAAAACAAAGAAAAAGGGCATTAGAATGAACATCATCTAATGCTATGCGCCTACCAACGATTACAATGAAAACGTTAAAGATCAGTTGTACGATAGGCTGCAGTCAATCTTTGGGACATGTCCGACAAAGGACTTGAAGACAAATTAACTGACGACGGGAAATTAAGATCAGTCTTGAATATAACGCTACATCAGCAAACTTCAGAATTTGATAGCAATATGATATGTTTGAGTAATAGACAGAAGAAAGGCGGTAACTGTCAGTAATATTGGTCAAAAATAGGTTATCATCAGGGAGAATCTTTATCAAATGTTTCATGCTACCAAACCGGTAGTAATGTCACCAAAATGTCTTACGTAGCACAAGACTGATGTTCGATACCTAAGAACGATATTCTGAACCCAGATCTATTTACGTGCTCCCGCAAATAGATCCTAATTCAGATGATCCATTTGCTTACTTTTACTAGAACGCGAATGAAAAGTATCCCGGATAGAACAAGTGTTGATGAAAGGTCAGATCTATATTTATCTCTTTAAACACAAACATTGGTACAAGGAGGCACTATGGCATCCGGTGACGAGCAATAGGTTCAAACGCCATTTGTTTCTTTAGCATCCCGAAGCCCATGTGCACCATTGGTTTGGAATCAGGGTTTCCCGATTGCCCTAGGTGGATCTACCATATCCACCAACCCGGTTAGAGCACCAAACAGTCGCTTTACAATCCTACTTTTTTATCTTGATCTGAACTAAACGCTAATGAGCCGAGTGGAGTTCAACTCATTACGACTGGTGGTATCTTAGGTTACGAGAACTTTCATATGCGACAACGTAATAAACTAAGGTTGGTAATGGTTAGCTCAATAAGATTATCAAGTAGAATAAGCGGAGTCAGCTTTCTTGTTAGACGCTTTTCGAAGAAACCGGACCAACTATCCGTGTCGCCGAAGTGAGAACAGATACGAATAAATGTGGCAAGAGATAACATATAGTGGTAATGAGATAAATTACAAAAACCATATAAGTAGTCTATAATAAACTCACCATTTTCCCCAGACAACAGAAACGTAGACTTGTGGTAGAGGAGCCGATAGTTCTTTATACATTTGTCTAGAGAGTAACACTATACACAACAAATGAGCTTCGCAATGCAACAAGTAAGTATTGTCTCTGAAAACAATGAATGGCAAAATTGAACTTACTGGATAGGCAGATTAGTTATGAGCCTGAACAGTACAGGGAACAAACATTCAATTACAGACAAACAATGGGGACCTAGGGAAAATACTGTTTGACTGAAGATAATTATACCTTCAGGAGAATTAACAGAGAAGTGAGAGAAAAATCTAGCTTCAGAGCAGTGCTCCATCAAGTACTTCACCGACAAACGTAGAATAAGTAGTCCATTTTGAGCAATTAATACTGTATCTTCGCATCTAAAAATACATAACAATTGTTAAATAAATCTACATGTCTGGTGAGGCTATTAATTCTGACATCTTTAATATAAGAAATTGCGTGAGGTTGGGAATGTTACGAGAGTGAAGGTTGTTTTTCTTCAAATCCTTTAGCAAACGTTTATTTGCTTTTTCAAAATCTATGAGAGAGCTTGTATCAAGAGTTTGGTGAGCTGAGAATCTAATTCACACACCTGCTTTTTGTTGTTGAGCCAACCGAAGACAAAAATTCCATCCAATATTCACTGTTAGGTGGTATTCCATCAGTCCCTACAAATCTTTGTAGTGGCTCATCCTTGGACACATTAGCAAGTGTGCTGTTACTAGATCCCATTTTTTGTAGTGTTGTATAATATTAAGCTACTACGAAATCTGAAGGTCATGATTTAGTATGAATAAAGTTAAGGTCACTTCAGAAAACAAGTAATTAGTCATTTTACAGAATAATATGTTAAAAAAAACTTAGAATAGTGAAGTTAGTGATGGCTGTAAAATATTGGGTTGAGTTGTATTCATCAATTGCGTCAACTCACAAATCATGTTACTACTTGTTGTGCAGTTTGTTCTTTCCTATAATGCAGCTTATGCTTTGGAAAAAAGTCAAGGTGCTCTTGGACCTCGCATTTTTACATTTGTCCATGGTGGTGCAGATGCAAAACTTAATTTCTCTGCAGCGGAACATTATTGTAAGTCTGTTGGAGAGTTAGGTGATACAAATAACATGGATGATTCAAAAGATAAACAAGACCGTCAGCACCTGTTTTTCAATCCATCGCAAAGTCATAAGGATGGAATGATCCTACGAACTTCTCTGGCATCTGTTCATTCATATCCAGAAAATCTAGCTTTGGTAAAGTGGGTAGCCAAACAAGAAAAGCATTCATTTTGGATAGGAGGTAAAATTACTAAAACAATGAATGAGTTTACAAGGCCCATTTATGTTTTGCACTGGGTTGACGGTAGTAAAAGTGATTTCAGTCTTATTCGCTTACCTAATCCAGAAATAACTTCCATGCGAATTGGTGAACAAAGATGCACGTCTGTTGATTATAGTTCTGGACAGTGGGGGGTTCATTTATGTTCTGAAAAGAGATATTTTGTTTGCCTTACAGTCCCAGTCCTCAATATAGAAAATCAGGAGACTACTAAGCAGAAGGAAAAATCATCACCCTCTTTGCAAAAGAAATCTGAAACACACGATGCTTTAATTGATGATGAAATGGGAAGTACGTTATTATGATTAGTGTGATATCTTGAAGATTCAATAAGTAGGTAGAAACAAAAGTCTTGATAATCAGTGTTAAATGTTTAACTTTTTTCTTTGTTGTTTGTATATAGAATGAAAAATATACAAATATATTGTTCAAAATAATTTTTCCTAAGTATATTTATTTGTTTAGAAGTACCTCTCATAAACGATAGGTAACAGATGTACCTGATAGCTTTATAGCTTTTAAGATAGGTAAATATGCACTTGAAATGTTCTTTATATGTATTAAATATATTGAAATCTTATTAGGTAGCTGGATATTTTACGTTCATAACTATGTATATTATCCTTAATTTTATGTTATTATGGTTTCACAACTTTAAAAAAAAGCCGATGTTACTAACTCCTTATGACACTTATTTCAACTTTGTATAAATGTTAAATGATGAATTTTATTTTGATTTGAGTAAAAGAAATGAAGTTTTACTTCTAGGTCCCGTGTTTACAATTGAGTGAAGTCTTTTATATTAACTAATACTAGCATTTTAACTGTAATTGAGAAATGTAAGACGATTTGAAATTTGGTCCGATTAATTTCTCCTTACTTTTATCGTCAAAATCATGATAAATTCACATTTAAAATGAAGCTGACGTGTGTTGAGTAATTGTATTTTTTTTAAAAATAGGATTATAACCTTAACGATTCCTCGTACATGACAAGTTTAGAATGCTTAAGAATTGAGAAGATAAGGATTAACTGATTCATTTATATGGTTCTTACGACATTTTTTTACTCACTTTTCACTAACGGTTTATTTTTATTAAAAGGAGGGAAATATTCGTGGTTCTACGTATATATAGTTATAATACACAATAAATCAAATATGGAAGTAATCAACTGTAAAGTTGACAATTGTCTATGTGATATGTAACTAGTGTTTTGTTCTCTGAACTGGATGGTTTAACTAGTGTTTTTGTAATTCCCAACAAATGTTTCCACAAGGATTTCTAGTATATTTTTTGAAAAGAAAATAGTAATTCGCCAATCATTTATTAAGGTTTATTTGAATAATATTGATAGGGGAGGATTTAATTAAACTTTCTCCTAGGACCTCATGATAACTAGCCCGAATAATGATTTAGTCATTCGTATTTATTGACAGCTGGGTTAAATTAAACGGCTTAAGATATCTATATTAAATCCACATAAAGCGTACGTAAATTCTCCATGAAGTAAGCTGTATGGTATCTAAAGTGTCTTAATATGTAGTTTAAGTGAGTGCATTGATTAATAAATTTCCTACAAGGTTAATTACAATTGTTTAGAATCATTAAACCTTTTATTCATTCTTCAGTGAATAAAATCTTGAGTATTTCTAAAGTTAGTCGAAAGTACCCCTGTAATTGTACATTCAGATTTGGCATAAAACTGATCAGTAAAGCTGCGATATGCATTGATCATAAATTCCTGACTGTCATTTATCGACATTAAGATTAAGAAGCTGAATCAGTAGTAAAGATTTATGCACAGGAAATCGGATTTTTAGTAATGAGTATGTGAGGTGCAATAATTAGAGTGATATAAAAATCAATACAATAGTAGTTTCGAGATATTTTGAAATTAACATGTAACCCATTAGTTTCGATTCTTGACTGCATTTCAGCCTATCATCAATGTAAAGGGGTACTATTACTGAAAGCGTGTTGTGCTTTTTTTTCCATATACTGTATCTGTGTATTTAATACCACGTATAATAAACTTTGTTTGACTGTACATAATAGGTGCCAACTGAGATCATTTTGACGTAATAAAATGGTTGGTCTGTTCTAGCTTATGGAAGTTACTTTTAAATTAACCTTAAATATAAAACAACAGATAAAATGTAAAAACACTTTTCAGTTAATTACTCCTTATAAGAACAATTTGTTTTATTGTTGATTAAGCTACCATCCAAACACAATTCACTTTGCATTAAAACGTTTATCATTTTATTATTCTTATTACTACTAATCCACTTGTCTTCTTCTTATTAATTTGTACCTATTACTTATTATCTGTAGTCCATCTCAGTGTGATCATTGTTTTAAATAGCGTTCATTAGTTTAATATTTCTTAGACTCACATAAAGATCCGTGTATGTCAGAGTAAAACCTGATGACGATCTGAATGAAAACAATATTTTTCGTTTATATGTGTTGTTCTACTTTGTATTATATTAATAACCAATGCTTATATTCAGATTGATTAACTAGTGCATATACTCTGGAGATTATTTTACTCGTTAGGTAGGTTCTTGGAGGAAGCATTAGCAAATGTGTTTAAATCAGATGTACTTTAGTTCACTGCTTGTTAGAATTAAGGCATAAATCATTTTTTTAATTTTTCTAGTAAAAGATTCTTATTTGAGATGGATATAACGTTTTACATTGATTGTAGGATTTAATTAGAAAATAATTGACTTCATTTGATGTTATCAAATCATCAATCAACGCTTACTATAACTGGGAAATAAGATTAATGTTTATAATAAGAATACATAGTAGGCAAAGATGGATGGTGGCTAACCGTGGAATCCAAGACGCGCGTTTTTATCAGATTTGAGACTCGTCAGCTGGATGTACCTGCATCTCAGAGTTGATATGTCATTCCGAGACTCGAACCCAGTACCATTTGCTTCAATTATCCCAGCGTTATCCATTTAGCTATTGAGTTCAGATAGCCACCTACTCGTGCCATGGCATTAACTCAGTAGCTAAGTGGATAACGCAAAATGAGCGGGTACAACAACGGTAAATAGAATCGAACTATAATAACGATTAGGAACTGAACTGAGGTGAAGTTAGAATAATATAAACTGAGTCCAGAACTGATCCGATTAGTAAATTTATTAACTTTCTAATAACTCTGGAATGTAGTGTAATAACCCTGAACTCTATTGGACTGATTTAATCTTAACTGAACTATGGTCCTCAACTGGTAGTCTAATATTGATCGGCTGATGATTATAATTACGAAAAAATGATTATCGATATCTTTTTTAGATTAGGAGTTAAATTAACTTGAAAAGTCAGCTATTGTAATACAAACCATAAGTGAATGGTTTTTATGTATTCTACACACGATTCCGTTTATTATTTTGAAAGGAGCAAAGTAAGGAAGTTTTCAATTACAAAATAAGAAATCAATAAATTTATCTTATTAATTCATATTTTATACTTAAAAACATTTAGTAGTTACTTTTTCATTATAAAACAGAAATATGCTGTTTTTTAGAAACTAAACTATTAACGTTTAATACAGATAAAACAATCATCATCAATATACAACAACAACAACAACATTCCCTCCCTGCCCCCCCCCACTATCATTTTTTATTATAACCTATATTAGTAAAATTGTTTCTTTAAATTATACGACCAACATAATATTGACTTAAGCATAGAAAAAATTTCATTATTGATCATAATGAATGTTTAATATATTTTCTTTTATTGATTTGATATTAGATCTCTTATTATTATAGTTAATCAATAATAAATGACTGAAATGATTTTAAGTTTAGAAAAAGAAAAAAAAATCCTCATTCATTTCATGATAAGGGATCACATTTTAATGATTCAATTAGATGTAAAAGTAACTAATCAAATAGAAGTCAGTAAAAGATTTTTTTATTATATTTTAGACTGATATTCAAGTTTTATGTATAAGTTGAACTAAACTAAACTAACTAAAGTAACATTTTTGACTGTTAAAATGAGATTAATCGATGAAAACTATTAACTTTTTTTAGTAGGTGGCTATTTTCTAGTATTTTCTGATAAATAACGTGTCTATGACGAAATCAATTAAACCAGGTATAGTGGGCAGCCCTGACGAGCACTACTTGAAGCTGGTTACTCTGATGACAGCAAGCCTTAATCTTTGACCGAACTATTAATGTATGAATACAGAGCCTTTACAAGATTGGTTTACTTTCTTGCTACACCTTTCAGTGACAGACTCTGGCACAAAACGTATCAGATCTACGGAGTCAAACGCTGCCTTGTGATCAAGAAATATAGTTATGATTAGACGTCGGAAAGTGTATCTATGTTCCAGAATCTGATGAAGGGGAAACATTTGATCGAAAATCAACATCCAATTTTGAAACCAGCCAGCTTTTCTTGGGGTTACTCTTTACTA